AAGGGCGAGGGTAGCAGCAGCGGACGTTGCGGTAATAGCAGCACGACCCAGCAGGCACAACGTGGACGACGGCTTAGTGCTATCCTCGTCGGGAGGACGACCCCGGCGTCGTATCCAAGTGGAAGTGCTCGTCCTTGCCCACATCAGAGTAAAAGGCACTCTGCGACGAGAACAACGCCGCAGTTGTTTTCCCCAAGGTGGGCTGGAGAAGGGGTTCGGCACGCTGGAAGACGCACCGCCGGCGGGCAACGGCCTCGCGCCCGGATCCAAGGGCATCCGATGCAGGCTGATGTTGTCGAGCGTAGCCTTGTCCGACTCGTCGAGCATCTCGTCCGCGATCGCGAGATCCAGACACAGAGAGAGAGAGAGAGAGAGAGAGAGAGAGAGAGAGAGCAAGTGTGAGGGGTGCTGGAGACGGGTCTGTCCGAGCAGCTCGTGTCTGGAGCCTCCGCCTCGCCGCCCTCGCCGCAAGTGGCGACGCACGCGGAGAAGCCGACGATGATCTCGTGGAAGAGAGTGCGCGTCGAGACGCGCTCGACGATGCGCCCGTCGGGCACCTCCCCCTCCCCCTCGACGCAGTGCTGCAGGAAGAGCTGGTACTGGTGCACGCGCGGGAACCACGCCCGCGCCGCCGCGACCAGCCGCGCCGCAAACGCCGCGCAGAGCGACACCACCAGCAGCCGCTCCTGCGGGCGCGTCGCAGGCGTGTCGAAGGTGTCTCGGAGGTGTCTCGGAGGTGTCTCGGAAATGTCTCGGGGTGTGTCGGAGGTGTCTCGGAAATGTCTCGGATGTGTCTCGGAAGTGTCTCGGAAGTGTCCCTCGCCCAGCCGGACGGCGCCGACTCGCTGCGCGGGGAGAGGAGAGGCAGGTCGGAGAGCCGCTCGAGCGCGCAGCCGAGCAGCCACGGCCAAAACCCGGCCACCGCCTCGAGCGCCGTCGCTGGCGGCGCCGCCACTCGCTCGCGTGAGGCATGCGGCGGCGGCCGGCCTGGTGAGGTGAGGGGTGAGGGGTGAGGGGTGAGAGGGGGGAGGGGGGGCGAGGGCGAGGGCGAGGGCGAGGGCGAGGGCGAGGGTGCCTCCTCCTCCGCCGCCGCCCTGCCCGCTCGCGCGAGCGCCGAGCGAGACAGCGGCGGCGAAGGAGAGGACGGCGAGCGTCGAGAGCTCCTAAGGTAAGTTAAAGGTGGACCTCCCCACACCGCCCACACACACAACGGTGGTGGGGCAAGGGCAGCCCTCGCGGCTCCGCGTCTGAGACAAGAGCCCCACGGCATTCAAAGTGCCAAGGCCCGGTGCGCGTGGGTGAGCGGGGTGCGAGTGTGAGTGAGTGAGTGAGTGTGTGTGTGTGTGTGTGTGTGTGTGTGTGTGTGTGTGTGTGTGTGTGTGTGTGTGTGTGTGTGTGTGTGTGTGAGCGTGTCTGTCTGTCTGTCTGTCTGTCTGTCTGTCTGTGTGCTCGAGAGCTCCTTGGCGAACGGCGAAGCGGCCAGCCGCAGCAGCAGCTCCAGCGGCGAGGGCGGCAGCTCGCGAGACTCGAAGCGGGCGAGGAGCCTAGGGGTAGGGTAGGGCTAGGGTTCACGACTCGAAGCGGGCGGGAGGCCACGCCGCCAAGACACGCCACCAAGACATCCGCCAGGGCGCACCCGTCAGCTCAGAGCATCGCGCGGACGGTTAAGGGCGACGAAATGCACACGGCTGGATACCGCCGAGGGCGTGTGCTCTCGCGTGCTAGTCGGGATACAACGATCTGGGTACACCGGATCTAACACCGCATCTAGGGCGCGGAGCCGCTGGGAGGTGGCGGCGTCCTTTGCGAGCGAGAACCAGTGCCCGTCGTTGTCGTCGCTCATGTGCGGCACGGTGAGGGTGACGCCGCTCGCGAGCGAGACGTCCACGCAGAACTCCTTGGACGTCGACCCGATCTCGGTCAGCCACACCCGACTCACCTGGGCAGCCTCTGGCGAGCCAGAGAGCCACACCGCCTCGACGTCCATGGGCAGCCTCCCGCCACCGCCCCGGGTGCCCGCCGCGCGAACGGCGGGCTCTGGCGTTTGCGACCTGATGACCGCCGGCGCGGCCGATGGCGCGGCTGGCGGCGACGTGAGCGGCGAGGCAGCCTCGGCGAGCTGCCGCTTGGAGCGGGCCGCCGTGGAAGGCGACCGGGCCGGGGTGAGAGGATAAATCTCCTCGCTAATTTCGCTGTAGTGGTTGGCCTCGTCCTGGTCGGACGGCATCGCGCGGCTCTCTCGCGTCCCTGCTGCCTGAGCGACCGCTGCGCGAGGAGAGAAGGACGCAACCTCAGCGCGGGCGTCCTTCCGTTCACGCCCGGGACCGACGGTCCCCGTGGTTACCGGTAAACACGAATGCACCTCCTACTCGATAGCATGGAGGACGGGCCCACACGCACACACACACACACTGTGTGTGTGTGTGTCAGTGTGTGTGTGTGTGTGTGTGAGAGAGAGATTTTTGTGTTTTGTGTTTTGTGTGTGTGTTGTGTGTGAGAGAGAGATTTTTAGCAATACCAAACAAATCTAACACTCACACGTCATTTGGGGCCTGGAGCCCTGTTCACGCGCGCGTGTTTGTTGTGTGTGTGACACGCACGCTGCACACGATTGGCTCGGCAGCCGACACGAGGCACACTGTCACCGGCGGCCCTAGCGCCGGGCCCGGACTGCTGGACACACAGCACACAGCTCACACACAGGACAGCTCACGAGGTGGCGCTATGTAGTGGGGTTCTCAGGGCCTGACTGACACGGGAGAAGAAGGTGGAGCACAGGGACGGGGACACAGAACTCACGAACTGATATCCCACCCCGCGCCGGGGGCGGTGGCGCGCGCGAGCGCCGGGGTATTTGGACCCGCAGTCTGGCAGGCGCCAGGCCACAGACCCGCCGGCAGAGCCTTGAGCCGCATCCGCGATCCGCGCCGGCTCTCAGAAGAGATCCGGCGCGGTGCTGACCGCGCCCTCCTAGTGGACCCAACACGATCACCGAGTTCACGATGAAGGGAGGCCGATCTCGCCGGTGGTAGGGCAAACGACTCTCGCACTTGGAGCACTTGGAGTGCAATCAGTAACCTCACATCCAGGGCCGAGGCGCCTTTTTTTTCTTTTTTGAGAGCGTTGTTATAAGAAAGAAGCAAGGTTTTCTAAAATCTCTCTCTAAGAAAGAGGGTCACACACACACACGCACACACACCGCACCGCGCCGCGCGCACACCCCACGCCCCTCCTGTAGGTGGGAAAGAGACGAGGAGAAGCCCCAAACACGCATGGGAGGTTGAGTTACCCCCCCCCCCCCAGTGAACACTCCAGTGAGGGAGGGCGAGACGATCGAGGGGTCCCGTACCACGCGGAATCGACCCTATCCAGTGCTCAAGTGCTCAATGTTGAGTTTGGCGGCTTTCTAAAAGAATTCTTAAAATACACCACACAGGGAATCAGGGATTTTAAGGAGAGGGGTGTGGTGCGCTAGCCGTCGCCCACCCTAACCCTTGGGCGTCTGCTTCTTCTTCCTATCTCTCTTCGCAGTCCCTCGCCGTACGCCGATTCTCGCTGCAACCTTCATGCCACCTCGCGGTCGTCCCACTCTCGTCGTTCTCTCTCTTGTCGCTTCCTCCTCTGTCGCGTCGCTCTCCTCGGCCTCGTCCTGCGACGCCGCCGCCGTCTGCCGCCGATCCCTCGCTCTCGCTGCTTTTCCCGCCTTTCGTCGCAGCTCTGCCCGCCTGGCGGCATATTTTGGCCCCTCGAGTTTATCGAGCTCTCCTCGAGCAAGGATGAGTCTTCTGACGCCCACTGCTATCATTTGCCGCCAAGTCATATCGTTGCTCAGGTCCACTCTCTCTTCGAACACTTGTGCCTCCACGGATGATGTTGGCGCTGGTGTCCCCTTCGGGTGTATCGTGACAGCTGACGACGGGATTACCACAGGTGTTTCGTCCTCCTCGGGTTCGTCTTCCCCGGCTTCCTCCCGTTCGGCTCTACGTTCATTACGTTCATCGTGGCTCACCCTCCATGCCGTGAACAGGCTCTTTATCCACCCTATATTCTTCTCTCGCTCCTCTGCCCGTGCCTTGGTCTTGTCGTTGTTTCGCACCCATGTCTGTATGGCGATCGAGGCTGCCTTCCCCACTACCTGTAGTTCACTCGTCACCTCTCCTGCGAGCTCCCCTCTCTTTCTCTCGGGTATGGAGTCCGTGAGTGCGGGCAGCGTGCAGGCAATCACGGGCGCTATTTTGTCGTACTCCTCTTCGGCGAGCGCTCCAAATCTAGACCCCATTGCCTTTAAGGAGGCTGCCCTCGCGCGTCTCAGTACTCAGAAATATAGCTGTGTCCGTTTTGAGTCAGGCGGCGCCCGTTCAACTCTTGCTGCCGCCCTCGCCGCGTGTTTGTCAAGCTTCTCTCTTGCTGCCGCCCTCGAGTTCTTGCTGGCGCGAACTCAACTCTTGCTGCCGCCCTCGCCGCGGTTCAACTCTTGCTGCCGCCCTCGCCGGAACGTGCATGGCCGAGTTCGCACCGCGTTCCGCACCTCTTTCGAGGCGTCCTCCGTGTCGTTATTTCCGAGGTATGCTGTCGCCACCGCGTCGGCGTATGCGTTGCAGGCTATTCCCACGTGTGCTGGCACCCACATGAAGACCACCGCCTCTAGCTTCGATCTATAGTAAGCAATCCCTCTAGGTAGGAGAACCGCCTCTCTCCCAGTCCCTCAGGCCTTCTGGCATCCCTTCGCGGTGCGCATTCTCAATCTGCTGCAGCGCGGGTTTGCAGTCGCATAGTACTAAGCACCGTCGCGATTGCGCATCGCTCGCGCTCGCCATTTTGCGTAGGTAGGTATGCGAGTTGCGCGTACTTCTCCGCGTCTATCGGCTCCCACGTGCTCGGCAGCTTTCCTCCCCACATGCCCGCCCCAAAGGCTGTCCGTCTCTCCTCTTCCCCACACTGCTGTCAGGGGTCCCGTACCATGCGGAATCGACCCTATCCAGTGCTCAACCGGGGTAAATTCTTGTTGTGCCCACACACCCGACAGAACTCTCTGGTGCCCGGACGTGAGACTGACAGACTGACTGGTACAGTCGGCTAGGGGTGATCGGCGCACGCATACCGCCAGGAACGCTCGCATGCCAGTCGCGTTCCTCTTCTCGATCGCATACCTGGGCCCGCCTCGGGCCGTCACCTTTGGCGCGGAGCTGCTCGCTCCGCGGCCCGCCGCCGAGGCGACGCTCCGCGCCCTGCGGGCTGGCGGCGTGTCGCACCTGGCCGCCGTGAGTGGCGGCGACGGCGAGGGCGCTGCGGCAGCCGCGCTGGTCGCGTGCGGCGCGCTCGACGGCGTCGTGCCGTGCACGCCGTCGGGCGAGCCGGCGGCGCCGCCCGAGGTGCTTCGCGCGGCCGCGATCGAGCAGTGGGTGCACGTTTGCTCGACGGTGCCTCAGCTGGCGGCTGCGAAGCGTGCGGGCGCGCGGACCGTCTGGCTGAACGAGCGCGCGGCGGGCGACGAGAACTCGCGCGGCTTCGACGGTCCCGCGGGCGAGGCGTCCTCCTACCTCGCGCGCGGCGTCATCGCCGACCTGGTGCGCGCGCCGTCGCCGCGCGCGTCTGAGCCTCTCCCTGTTTAGCCTCCGCCGTTGTTCGCTGTCAGGCGGGCGCCGTCTGCGCGCGGCTGGACGAGGTGGAGGCCGCGCTGCAGCGGGCGCAGCAGCGTCACGAGGCCGAGGTTGCGCAGAGGAAGGGCGCGGGCGGCGACGACGACGCCGCCGACGCGCTGGCGAGGCTGCGCGGCTCGCTTCCAGGCGCGCGCGCCGCCGGTGACGGGGCGGGTTCGGACGGGGCGGGCGCCGCGTCTGGGCCCACGGACTGGGATGCCGTCCTCGCCGCGCCGGGCGACGCGGGCGACGCGGGCGACGCGGGCGACGCCGATCTGCGAGGAGAGTGCCCCTCCTGCGGCGCAAGGCTGGCCCCGGCGGCGCGCTTCTGCAGCGAGTGCGGACACTCGACCGTGGTGCAGACGGTGAGGCTATGAGGGTCCACTCGGCGGGTAGGAAGATGCCACATCCTGACCCTCAAGTAGCGCGCACTCGAGCCGAGAGGCACAGGCCACGCAACTCTCTTTGTGGGTTTGTTCATTTTGCATGGTAGTATGAAAAATGAACGAAGAACGGGACCCCCATAATATTAATATTATTGCGCAATCGTGTGTCAGAGAGAGACAGAGTGTCTCTGTCTGTGGGCTGGGTTTTATTTATTAGGCACATATTGTGCTTTGTGGGGGGGGTTTGGTTGCACTGTCATGTCTCATGAGAGAGCCACCATGTGTGATCCGTATGATGATTCCTGACAACCGCCTCAATCAACTTTCGTCACAGTTCCCGCTCTGAGAGGAGCTGCGGGTCAGTTCGACAGCTGGAGCCGCTGGAGCTGTGTCGCCGGCGTGCGGCGGGGCCTGCCAGGGTTCGTGATTTCACATGGAAACAGCGAATCGATTTCACTTTCACTTTCACTTCACATTTCATGTGAAACGAAATTTCACTTTTCCGAGCGAGTGTGAACGTGATAAGGACGGATGCTCCCACCGAGTTCCGACACTCTGACACTCACTTCACACTTGCAAGTGTTGGCTCCACCCCATGCACCAAGCAGCAGCCAAGCGATGAAGGAGGCTGGAGATATTGGTCACGCTGAGCTGATGTGTGCACTAGACCAATATGAATATCTTGGCGTGCTGTGGGCGAATACGGTGCCGATGGTGGGATGAACTCTGGTCTATGATGGCGACACGCACGAGCGACACACAGACACAAACAGGCTCACAAGACACACAGCCAGCTGGCTGCCACACACCCTGAGTAGGCGTACACATAACTCAAGGCCACATCCTCCCTGTCGCCCCCCCCAGCACTCCGAGTTCTGACGCGTTTTTTTCCTTCCTTTTTCATTCCGCAGTCTCTCTCTCCATGAGCCGCCTGCTGTTGCTGCTCGTTGCCGTGACGTACGCGCGCGCAATATCCACGCACATCCCCACCGCCGTGCGCCGCGAGACGCCCTCTTCCTCCCGCGCAGGTCGACGTCCGCGTTTGTGCCCGTCGGCGTGCGGTCCAGTGTCGCCGCGCCAGCAACAGCTGCTCCCGTCGCCTTCCGCCTGGGCTCGCCGGTCGCGGCGGCGAGGAAGGTGGCGAAGAAGCCTGTCAAGCGCGCGGCGCCGAAGAAGAAGGTGGCGAAGAAGCCTATCAAGCGCGCGGCACCCAAGAAGGTTGTGAGGAAAGCAAGCGGCGGCTCAACGAGCGGCACAAGTGGCGGCGCACTGTTCAAACAGCTTCCCGGCCAGACCGTGGGCACCCTCGACGGGTTCGGTCTCGGGCCTGCGCAGATTGGCGGCATCGCTGTGTGGCTGCTGCTGGTGCTGAAGCTGTTCGGCGTCTCCCCAGGCGGCGGCTTTGGCGCGGCCCCGATGTCCTAGACCCTTTGCGGCGGCAAGGTGGAGCACGCTCGCTCGCTCCTACGTATGTTGGCGCGGCGGGGCCTTGGGACACCCATCCCCCCACGGTCGCGTCTTCGCGTGCCCTGAGCGGATCTTTATATTCGCGGCCGCTCGTCTGACCAAAGAGAGGGTCGGTGACGTGTGTGAGATCGAGCGTTGGAGAGACACGCGCCTCTCGCGCCACCGCCCGGTTTCTGTTTTATAACACGTAGCAGCAACGGACTGTCGCACGCAGGTCTCGCTCTGAGTCTCTGGCTACCGAGACCCGCGTGGCGCGCCGCCTGTGATCGCTGTGTCGCAGCTGTGTCGTGTGTGTGTGTCAACCTGCTACTACCTGCGCTCGTTCTACGGCCCTGTGGCTGTGCGCGTCCCCCGCGGCGCGCGAGTATAGGGCAGTAGCGTAGAGAAAGTGAAACGTGATCGTGAAAGTATGCCATAATGTTGCGTGTGCGTCTGCCTCTCTCGTCCGCCTATACTCGTCCGGGCTCCGGCGCACTTTTCCCCCTCTCCCGTAGCCGTACTCCCCCCACATCCCAGAGTAGAGAAAGGCTCCAGCCCCCTCGCCTCGCCAACCCTCGAGACGCACGCGACACACATGGAAGGGTCCTCTTCGTGAGTTCAAATCGCGACGCCGCGGCGGCGGCGGCTCAGAGCGGCGCGCTCGGCGCGGCAGCGAGCTTCCGTCCAATCCGGCGGTTGCTGACGAAGCGGACGGCGGCGGCACGCCGCTCGCCGACGAATCGGGAGACAAAGTGGGGCGGCTGTCGGGGGGGGGGGGGGGGGGTCGAGGCGAGGCGAGGGTAAGCGCTGCTTCAGGACAGGTGAGGGTCAGGACAGGTGAGGGTCGAGGCGAGGGGCAGACCCGTCACAAACTGGAGCAGCCCGTCGTTTTGCTGCTGGTTGCGCCACTCCTTGACAGACTCCTTGGCCTGGGCGGGGAGGGCGGCGGCGGGGAGGGCGGAGGGTGGAGGAGGGCGGCGGCGGCGAGGGCAGGGGAGGAGGGCGGCGGCGGTGAGGGCGGAGGGGGTGAGGGCGGCGGTGGGCTGGGTGGCGGCGGCGAGGGCGGCGAGGGCGACAGAGGAGGTTGACAGCGCGCCGAATGACAGGGTGCTCCGACTGTCTGGCCCCGTGGTGTGGCGAGGGCTCTCTGTCTGTGCGTCCGCCTCTTGCTCCGCAGCCGCCGCCGGTGTGGCTGCGTGGGGAGGCGGAGGGCTCTCTCTGCCTGCCTGTGTCTGCCCGTGTGTACGCGTGAGGCGTCACGAGCTTCCCTTGGGAGGGTGGGAGACTCGCCGCCTCGGAGGGGGCAAGCAACTCGTGGCAACTCGTGTGGCATCTGGGGCTCCTCTGCCACCCACGTCGTGGCCTTGGAGAGCGCCTCCTTCGTCAGCACCTGCGAGGGGAAGAGGGGCCGTGGCAGCGAGAGAGAAGAGGGGCGGTGCCACTAAGAGCCGGGGAGACAAGGGGGCGGGCAGAGGGGGGCAGAGCCCGCACATTGTACACGGGAGACGGCACCCAGCCGCGCAGCTTGCACTCGCACGAGTAGTACACCCGCGAGCTCGCCTGATGCATTGATTCCACCATCACAACGATGTGAGAAGCACAGGAGTCGGTGGAGACGCTAGCTGGCCAACTAGGCTGGCCTAGTTCATCAGCTCCTTGCAACCTCACGGGGCCTCCTCCTTGCACTCGCACGCGTAGCAGAGACGCGAGCTCGCCCGCCCCGCCCCCGGCTCGACGTACCTGCACCGCGAGACACAGCCGAGGTACAGCCGAGCCATAGCCAAGCCATAGCCGAGCCATAGCCGAGATGAGCACTGCTGGGCGCGAGCTGGCCGTTGCCACGCGCCGCGACACTACGCCCGCCCTCTCGGCTGTGCCTCGGCAGCGTCTCGCGCGTCGGTATCCGACAGAGACCCTCGGCGATCTCGCGGCTGCACATCTCGGCTGCGTCTCGGCTGCATCTCGGCTGCGTCGCGCGCCAGTATCCGACGGAGTCGTCGATGTCGGAGCGGCGAGAGTAGTCGAGGTGGAAGGTCATGCACCGCTTCTCCGGGTCGTACTCGTGCTCCATGAAGTACCTCATCTTCATGTGCAGCACCGCGATGTCGTACGTCGTCTTGATCCTCTGCAGCCCTCCCTCCTGCAGCGAGCACGACGCGGCTCTCGCAAGGGCGAGGAGGAGGCGGAGGAGGGGGGGGAGCGGGAGCGGCGGGGTTCGGCCGGCCGCGCGCGCGTGCGACGCGCCTGCTCGCGGTTGTACTCCACATTCCGCGTCACCCCGTCCACCATCTTGTCGTAGTGCGCCAAGTCCATGATGCGGCTGCGCGCAGCAGGGCGGGCGAGGGCGCTCAGGCGAGCGCTCGCGCGGGCGGTGCGCGAGGCCGGCGGTGGCCCGGGCGCATGCGCACTCCATCACGACGTTCGGCGGCGCAGCGATATCCTGCACCATGAGCAGCCGCCGCGCGCCAACAATTCCCGTCTCCATCGCCTGCATCACCGGCTTCCCCGAGCTGAGCCGCTCCTCGTCGGAGCGCGAGAGCAGCACCGAGGGCGGGCCAATCTCGTAGCGCGTGAGCTTCCCGTTGTGATAGTGCGGCTCGTTCTCCGCCGCCGCGGCGACGGCTAAAGAGAGGGTGAGCATTGGAAGCCAATCGCAGCTCGTCAACGAGAAGAATTTTAAATAGCTCCGCCGGTATTTATACCTGTAGGGAGGCGTGTGCCGAATACAAAGTGGAGTCCCGCCCGCCCCGCAATAAGCGCAGATGTCCTCTTCAGCCTGCTGAGAGCTTCCTGGCCCGCGCGCGCGCTCCGCCTGGCGCGCGGAGCGACTCGGTGGACGTCCGAGCCCGCCGCCCCTCGCCACTGCACCCTGCTGGCCCATGCAGCGCGACACCGCCGGCGCTGCGCCTGCTTCCTTGCGCGCCGCTGGACGTCGGCCAAAAAGACCGCTGCCCTCTGGGGACCCGACTCCGCGAAGATCGCGCGCGCGTCGTGAATGCGGCGCGCGCGCGATCTCCGTTCCCGGGCACGCCGGTCGCAGTGACATGGGATCCCAGGCTCAAAACAGCACGCTCAACAGCGAGAGCGCCGCCGCTGCTCCTCCTCCCGCCGCCGGTCCGCTCACCGAGACAAACTCGGTGCCGCCGTTCTCGCCGCCGCCGCCGCCGCCGCCGCCTCGACCCTCGCCTCCGTCACCGCCGCCTTCCATCTGGGGGGGGGGTCCTTCTGATGGCGGGGGCGCCTCGTTGGCGGGCGGGCTTGGCCGCTGCCCCCCTTTGGCCGCGGTTCCTTGGTGGCCGCCGCCTCCCCTGTAAATCCCGCGGTCGGCACCACGGTTGCCACCGCCTGGGGCTTGGCGGCGGCGGCCACGGCCTTCCCCTTGGCCGTTGAGGGGTGCTTGGCCCTTGGGGAGCCTTTCCGCACGGTCCGGGCCGGGGTGCGCACAGCCTGTGCACACTTTCGCTTTTTTTGTACTCGGATTGCGCCGCGGGCGCCCCCACGCATGCAGTTGGGTGCTGGGGTCAGCGGCGTGAGCCGAGAGGTGGCCCACCGCTGACAGCCCTCAGCGCGCGCGGGGGGGGGGGGGGGGGGGCACCCCTGGTCCCCTCGCCGCCCAGACACACGCGCGGGACGCGCCCCGGCAGCAGCTCCTGCCTCCTCTCCGCTCTCGCGCCACCCCGCGCGCGGGGGCGTGACGTCTGTAGCGAGGCGACGGTGGGACGGTGTCCGACCCGTTCTGGGGTTTTCATATAATGCGGCTCTACTCGTATCGACCAATAAAATACCGGGGGAGGCCTGCGCAGCCTCTAACTATTCATCGTAAACACAGAGCGCCAGCATCATCCGTGGAGGCACAAGTGTTCGAGGAGAGAGTGGACCTGAGCAACGATATGACTTGGCGGCAAATGATCGCAGTGGGCGTCAGAAGAGTCGTCCTTGCGCGAGGAGAGCTCGATAGACTCGAGGGACGAGGGTATGTATGCCGCGAGGAGGGCAGAGCTGCGACGAAAGGCGAGAGAAGCCGCGAGAGCAAGGGAGCGGCAGGCGGCGGCGGCGTCGCAGAACGAGGCAGAGGAGAGCGACGCGACAGAGGAAGAAGCGACAACGGAGAGAACGTGAACGACGAGAGTGGGACGACCGCGAGGTGGCATGAAGGTTGCAGCGAGAATCGGCGAGAGACTGCGAAGAGAGATAGGAAGAGGCGGACGCCCAAGGGTGGGCGACGGCTAGCGCATCACACCCCTCTCCTTAAAATCCCTCTGTGTGGTGGCGGCGTGGGCCGCGTCCTCCCATCCCTCTTGGGTGGGTTGTCTGTTTTCTTTCGTTTATCGAAAAAAAAACGAGAAAAAAGCCAAGAGAGGGGTGGAAGGGCGGGAAAAGCCGGCGTAAGCCGCGGAAAAAGCCACAAAAAGCCAGCGAGCCTCCCGTTACGCGATTGCTCGCGAAGCGCAGCATGATCGGCGTGCAGCTTGGGAGGCTGCCGCCGCTGTCAGAGGCGGCCGCCACTGTGAGGTCTCGAGGGCCGACCGGCCGGGCGAGCATCCGCGCTGCCGACGACGTGCTCGAGACTGGCCGTCTGAACGAGATTCTCGCATGTTTTGAGGAGGCGCTCGGCGATCAGCTGCCCGAGATGGGCACGGATGCTGCAGCAGGGCGAGAGGCGAACGCCGAGGGTGCGGAGGCCGCACGGCGACTGGAGGCTGCAGCGGAGCAGCAGCGGGGAAGGATCTTTCCCTGCTTGCACCAAAGACGCCGTACTCCTAGGCCCAAACTCCAAAGTTAAATAAAGGGTGTGGATGCTGGGTTGAACAAAACGAGGGACGCGACCCACTTCGCCACTTCGCCACAGACGGTCCCGCGCCTCGCCGCTATGACGGCCGCACGACCGCAGCTCGTGTGCGTGCGGCCGTCTTTGTCCGGAGTGAATACTCCAACGCGCTCGTCGGTGGCGGCTTCCCTCAACCTGCGCCGCGCTCGGCGAACCTCGACAGCGCTTTCGGTGGCATGCAGCTCTTTGCGACAGAAGCCTGGAGAGCAGCTCCTCTGCTGCTCACACACTCTGCACAGCTGACACAGCCTACTGTGCGGCTGCCACAGCTGTGACAGCGATGGGCTCGCCCTCACTGGCCCTCAGTCACTTGTGCTGCGGCTTGTGTGAGCGACACTGCTCGGCGACTGCCGGCACACTGTGAGATCATGGGTGTGAGGTAAAACTACGCTACCAGCGCTTGGTCACATCGGCCCCGAGGTCAGATCCTTCTACTCTGTTGATGACAAGACTTGTCTACCGGCTGGAGCCGAGCAAAAGGGCTTGGCGCACAACCCCTGTTCAACTCACCCTCCACACCCGTAAGCCGTATCGCTCTTTTGTGTTTTGACAGCTCTATACCTGAGAGTCGTCCCAACGCAAAAGCCGATCGTCCAAGAGGGCACCATGGTCCCCATGCACTCATGCACACACCCGAAAGTTATGTAGTTATCGGACTATCAGAGTACGGCACAAGCAGGCTGCTGCTACAAGAAAGGATTGTGTATCGTGGCAGCGCGGTCGGCCAGCAGTCCCGCCGCGGCAGCAATGTCGTTCCCCGAGCGGTTGAGCGCCTCGCGCGCGTCGGCGAGCGCAAACCCCATCTCGACGAGGGACTCGGCCGCCGCGCACGGTGGTGATTCCTGCGACCGCGCGTATTGCGGCAGCCATAGACCCTGCGGCGGCGGCAGCGGCGGCGGCTGCGGTCGCGGCGGCGGCGGCTGCGGCGGCGGCCGCCAAAACACCTGGACGTGGTGGAGCCTCGCGTCCACGACCGACTTTTTTGGGTTCTCGTACCACACAAAGTCACCGCCGCCGCCGCTCCTGCCGCCGCCATGCTCCGCGTCGAGCGCGTCGGCGATCGCCGCCGTGATGGCATCCGCGGAGGTCGCAGCGCGCGGGGAGGACGACCAGAGCACAAGGTGCTGCGTGCCCACCGGGAGGAGGTACGGGAAGGGCTGCGGCCTCAGCGCAAAGCGTCCGGGCGGCGGCGCTTCGACGACGCACCGCCTGCCGTCGGCGCGCCTCTGCGTGGGAGACGAGAACACCTGGTGCATCACCTGGGCGGCGGGGGCGGCGGCGCGTCAGACGAGGGCGAGGGCGGGGCTTTGGCGTTGCGCGCGCGGCCGTCCTCACCCAGTCTCCTGGCGAGGCCCACATCGTGTCGAGGTTGGAGAAGAGCAACTCCTTTTGCGCCCGCGACGCCGCGTCGGGCCGGATGTGCTCGGCACCTGGAGTCCAGCCCGTCTGGTCGTGCAGCTGCTGCAGCGCCGTCTCGTCGGGCGAGACTTGGCAACGCATCGACTGGCGATTGGTCAGATTCTCGCCGGCGAGCCCCAAGCGAGCAAGGCGAACTGCCGGTTGCGCGCCACGCGCTCTGCGCCCGGCGATTGTACGCACTCTCACGTGAAGCTAACGCCAAGCTGCCGGGGTTCGGACTTGCTTGGGGGTATGGTAGGGCTGACTCAGGACCATACCCCCCCACCCCTCTGGGCCGTGACCTTAAAGGCTATATCCATGTTTCCTCGCGCACCCCGTCTCGTGTGTTTCTCCACAGTCCACACACACCAAACAACTCCCACACCATGGTATTGCTAAAAATCTCTCTCTCACACACCACCCTCTCGTTTCCTCTCTAGTTTCCCGAGGAAACTCGTGGAAATCAGCTGGTTTGGGACCAAAATCAGCCAGAATGGAGCACCAAACACCCTCTAGTTTCCCTGGAAATTTCCGGAAACGCAAAGATGACCAAAGTGCGCTGGGGATTCTAAATGCGAAATGGTACCATACCAACCCCGGAAAAAAATGGAGCTCGCCTAGGGTTGCGCAGCGACAGGAGCAAGGGCGTTCGCGCTGCGCTAGGTTCAGACGGCGAGTTCGCGCTGCGCTAAGGCTCAGAAAACGGCGTGGTGAGTTCGCGCGTTGTGCCTGTGGCTGTGCGGGCCTGCGCTACCGCTAGGCTCTTGCGGAGATTTGGGCTGCGTTGGCTCGCCAGAGTCTTCTTCTCGATGGCGCTGACTGGCAGTGTGTGATGACCTGTGTGTGTGTGTGTTTTAAGCAAACGTGCAGGAATTCTGTCACAGTGTCTCGATTGGGCGCGGAGGCGGAGGCGCTTTGCCGTGAGAGTCACACACGACACACACGACACAACAGAGACATAGAGACACAGACGCAGACGCAGACGCAGACACAGACATAGACACACACTGCGCTCCCCTAGCTCCCGCGCGGGCAGGGAGACGCGAGCCTGACGGAGTCCGGTGGTGGGGGCCCACGCAGCCAGCCAGCCCCTGCCTGCGCGGTATACAAAATGCGCCTGGAGCGGACCAGGGTTCCGGCTCCACCCGGATAGGGGGTCTGTCCCCACTGGCTGGCCCCTGCCAGATAGGTAGGTAGGTTGGTCTGGTTTGGCCCAAAAGGGCCCTGCAATAGGTAGGTACCGCCTATTTTCATCTTTTTCGTTCACTTCGCTGCGCGGCCTGGGGTAGGTAGGTAGTAGGGCGGTTTGTTTGGAGCGGCCGCACACTGCTCGGTACCCCCCCTCACATCTAAAGTCATCGCTGCTGCTAGGGGGGGGGGTCTGACCCCCCCAGCAGCAGAGCGTGCTGCTGGGGGGGGGGTCCCGAC